AGGCAATCGTTAATAATATGAAATCTTTAAGATCACCAATTTTTAATTGTTCTAAGGCTGACACTGCGGCGTTGAAGGATTCGATAAAGGAATTAAGCGAAACAGAATTATTAATAGCGGGTTTAATATTCAATAAAATGGACATATAATGAGAGCCTAATGCTCGTTGGTCTTGGTACTTATCAACTAAACTTTGCCAAATGCTGGCGTAGTTTTCTCCGGCTGGTACTATCCCAGTCGTTAGTCTTAAAGCGGGGCCTGACAATTTACCTATCAGATAATGTATCTTTTGGGAATCGGATAAACTTTTATTATCGTGGATATTAGCTTTAAAACATTCATAGAAGCTTGGCCAGGAATCCAATCGGCCATCAAATGATTTAAGATCAATAGGTGGAAGGGGTATAGTAGACCTGACATCCTGGGTTTGCATACGAGAATTCTGCGACTGCGATTGCATTAACTGTGAGCGAACTCTCTGAATGCGTGTGTAAATATCTTCAAACGCATTAAGTTGGGAATAGTTGGGTACATACGAAGAATCATCATCAATTTTGTATTGATTTATCATATCTAAATTAGCAATAAATTCATCACGAATTACTGACAATGTCTCCGTATCCGCCATGAACGCCTCCGTAGAACGAAGTTCGGGACTAGAAATATTTATCTTTTTTGCGCAATCATGCAGCCTATTTATACGTTGAAAAGTGCAATTAATTTTAGCAACTAAAACAGTGACCTTAGAACTCATTTTTAAAGATGGCGAATAGCTTTATTTAATTATAAATTAATTGAAGGGCTGTTATACTCAATAACTAAATTACCTATGTAAATAATAGGTACACAGGTGCGGCTTGTTACTATGCAATATAGAACATCGATATCTATTCGTATTACACAAATAACACGTTATTTGAGTTAAATAAGTATAGTTTTAAAAATAATGCGAATGTAGACATGAAATAGGTTTGTAAATAATTAAATTATATTTACGCGGTTGTACGAAGTTTGTGTATTTTAAGCGGTTTGATATTACGATGTTTCGTATTAAGCGATTATACGAATAGCAGTAGAAATGTATTATTATAGCGGTAGCGAATAGAAAAAAATAAAATATCACGATCACGTGCAATTAGCGATAGGTTTCAAAATGGCGAATGCCGTGCGCTAGCGACGACAATTGTTTTGAACGCGTTTGTAGGTTTTTAATGCTAATACAATGCGATGAAGGAATATATATATAGAAAAACGCGTTCTGGATCAGTTTTACAGGAATCCGGTTCGATTGGTACCATAAAATGATGTATTTTTTAGCCACACTGCAGTGATCGTAGGAAAAGGGAATTAAGGAACTCACCCAAATTGCACAAATTATAATATTGATGATCTGCGTCGGCGACTTGAAGTACTTGATGTTTTCAATTGCAATACACCACACTCGCGACACAAATACAGTTTGTTATAACATTTAAGGAGCTCCTTGATTAATTAAAAATTGATGCATGCGGTGGTTGTTTCACTTGTTAGATGGCGGTGCATCATAATTGTCCATATTGTGCCGGGGAAAGGGGGGCGGGAAAAAGCAGTGTGGCGGCTTACCAACCTATTATTATTATTTTTTTTTTTTTATGGATTTAGAAGACGCGCGAACAGTGAGAAAAATATGTATTTTTTTGCTATTATAATATCGTGTAGTATAACGTTACTTATTTTACCCATTCCATAACACAAAACAATATTCATATTCATCAATGTCGATACTAATGCTATATATATAAACATATTATAGGTATATGCCCTAACAATGTTATCGATAATTTAAAAAAATACTAAAAGCTACTTAGTATAAATACAAACACTGCAAGCGATATTTTAACTACAAGTAGCTCTTGCAGGTAGCAGCAACTACTTTCTCGTGTACATAACCAGAAAAATACTATACAAAGTCTACGTGCGTACCTCTGTACCACCTGTTCTGCCCCAAACAATTTGCTTTTCAAACCGTCAGTATAAGATATTACGGGTGTAGTTATATATTATGTAACGATTGGTTAAAAACATTATTTTTTAACAACTAATTCTAATACTTTATTTTTTAATAACTAACTCTCGCAATCGGCAGTATCCCCGCTGGAATCTATAATAAGTGGTCTCGGACAGTGTGGTTACAGAGCAGCTACCTCCCGCGTATACTTAGTTTGTGGAATGAACTCCCTGTCGAGATTTTCTCACAATACTACAGCATGCGGTTTCTCAAGAAGGGTATATTAAGGTTTCTTAAAGATCGGCAACACGAACGTGATACCCTGGTGTTTCAGGCGTCCACTACGCTACGCTAGGCTACGATAACCATTTACCATCAGATGGGACGCTTGATTGCCATCGTAATATAAAAAATCAACAAAATAATAAGCAAATAACTAGTAGGGAGTGATTGTAATTGATGCCCAAGATACTAGCAGCGTGTATGACGAATTTGGCATAAGACCTTTGGTCAAATTTGTTTTCATATTTACTTTATAAATAAGCTATTTAAATATACCAATATTTATTTTATTATTTTACCTACAATATTAAAATATCCAATCTGTTTAGATAGCTTTTTTTATTCATGTAAACGTTATTGTTTAATGTCAAAAAGCACTATTTTTCCAGGTATTTCTATCTATTTCAAACAAACCTTTCACGTAATAATACGGTACATTTCATCTCAGACACCTATTAGCATCACTCAACCAACCTCACCAACTTAGTTTTGAACAATTACGATCACATTCTGAGAAAACTTCAGCGAGTCGTAATGGCGTCCTCACTAAGATGCCTCAATTACGTTCGCTTAAACAAATACTTTTGTTCGTGCCGTTTACTCTCCTCGTTTTCATACTATCTATTTAAATCTACTATTACATCATTCTGTTTTAGTATGAATTTGGGCAAACGTTCTAACTGAATCTGGCACAGTAGAATTACCACATACTCATAGTGTAAATGTTATTTCCAAATAGATTTTTACAGTTTTATATTTAGGTGATTATTATAAAATGAAACAAGCCTTTATTGTTGTATTTATTATTACATATAGTAATTATGAATAAAATTTTATAAATGTTACTAGAGCTATATTTTCAATTTGTGGTCAAATTAGGGCTATATCTATATTGATAAACGAAATAGATACAGCTTAACCTCCCACATAAATCTTCTAAAGATTTCCTTTCTGGCCTATCTTTTGTTTTGCAAGTCCCCACTGGATTGGTCCAGACGATAATTAAGATAATTATGAACTTTAGTATGTTCTAAACATACAAACTTTCATAATTATCTTTGTTTGCTGAATCGCGAAACCGGCTGGATAGATTTGGTTGAAATTTGTTACCAACATTTTTTTATCTATATTTATTAGTCTTTTAACTGAGCCAATTCTAAGAGTATTTGCTTTGAGAAGAAGTTATTATTTTACATATTCAATGTTTCTTTTTTACATATGCTTCCTTTATTTAAACCACAATAATCACATTGTATTCAACAAACACAAAGTAATCAAATCATAAGTATGAGTTTAAAATACAATAATCCGATATAAAAATGTGATATATTTTAACGACGAAACAAAGGCTCACAATTAAAGTAAAGAATAATATTTTACGGTGGATGAACACTTGTCTTATGCTATGTAATACGCTGACAGGACAGACAAAAGGCTTTTTTAAAAAGGTTGTGAAAATATGGCCGCTCTCCATTGTGCCCGCTTTATTCACATCTTTTTCCTTCTCATTTCCTTATTTTTGTGTTGAAAGGATTAACAATAGTACAGGTAGGATGTCGGTATTTATCATGACTTCTGTAATAATGTATACATAAACTTGCGTTTCTATCTTATATCTTTCTATCACTATTCTTTACATTTTGTACACATGGTCAGCATGTATACAAAATGTAAAGAATAGAAAATACCTCCGCTGGGATAACTCTACCTTTATATTGTATTTATAAGCGTTACATAAACTTACTTCATATATTATGTGAAATGTAGTACTTAAGAAATTAGTATTACAGTATTAAACGGATAAGATGGTAGAATTTAATAAGGACATAATTTAAATTCGTTATAAGTATTAGAGAAACAAGCTATTTGATGTAAAAAGTAATATTTTATTGTCTAGCAAACAACCGTTACTAAGTTGTCATAATTATGTCTTCTGAATTATTCCGATAATAAATAAGAGTAACTTGAATTTAGTATACTACACACTATAAATTCTATGTTTATATTAAAATAGAATGAATAACTGAGCATTCTTGGACTCACAGGAAGCAACGTCGCTCTCTTAAGTACATGCTGTAGTATTGAAAAGTAATATATATTTATTTAAATATGTATGTATGTATGTAGTTATATTAATATATATACATACTTTTAAGCTGTACTTCTAATTGTTTTGTCTTTATATTTAAGTCTTAGTTAATACTACACTGAATAAATACATACGAAATATTTGTTATATATCAATTTGACAAATGATAAATAAAGATTACTTTAATAACTGTCTAACTTTACACGAATGTTTTGTTGTAAAAGGTATATCAGTCACACAGATATACATATTCACCACAAAATAAGTAGATGTCTGAAAATAAAATTTGAAATTTGCATACTAAATTGATCACGTTACCGCACAATAGGTAGGAATATATATACTTCCTATTATATCTTCTATTTCCTATTATATATATATATATATAATAGGAAATAGAAGCAATTTTATTTAAATAAACTTAAGAAAAGTCACATTATATTGTTCTACCGCTCATTCAGAATGTAGACTCATCACAAGAAGAATGAGCAAGAAACTTGTGTGTTGCATTTGCGTGAATATTATAAAAATTGTAATGCATATTCGGGAATATTATTGAATTTCATCAGTATTATCATTATTATTTGCGTCGGTATACCTTAATTTACTAGATTTTATTTATAGCTATGGTATTTATTTCAGCATGCAATAGAACGTACATGGGTGACGTGGGTCGCACGTATGAATTGGAAGTGCGTAGACCTCGTGAAGATCACCTCCCCTTCGTGTGCCATCTTAATTTTACGGCCCCTGGAGGAAATTACGGGGATATTATACAAGTATGTCTACCAAAATTTCCAATTAATCTTTTAAATTAATGTTTTTTGTTTTTTACGAGTTTATTCAATTTCTTTCCGAACATGCCTGCAAACGTAATTTCCGTTACTGTGGATTTTGCTTCACATTTAAACATATTTCATTGAACATACTGCTTTATCTTTGCATGATCGCAGGTTTCATATCTTCATAAAATATATTATACATGCATAATATTTTTGTGCATGAGTATTCCTGTACCTATATATAATCTGTTTGTACAATATTATACATATTTATAAAACAAAAAACGTTTGATCATTACCACTGCCGTAGTTTACTACCCCTACATAATTCGGGACTAATAATAGTAAGTGCTAATTATAACTAAGTGCATTATTTTTTATTTTCATTATTGGGTTCTTTAAGTCAACTATTCTAAGACTAAGACTGTTTAAATTATGAAGATAATGAAGCTATTTACTGGAGCGTAGACATGGGGGATGATGTCACAAATAAGACAATGTAGAATGTTCTAAATATTATATACATCAAAGGGGTTAATATAGCATCAAATTATACAAAAATACTTCTGTCTTCATGTGCTTGCTATATTCCATTAGTCAGTGAAGTCCATTTTCTCGTTGTCCAGATACGATACATTTGTTCAACGTGTTTTTTTCCTATTAAGTAATGTGAATATATTTGATGGATTACTTCTACGTATTAGCCGGGGGTACTTTTATCGACAGAAAAAGGTTCTTTCATTATTCATTACAGATACGATATAGAACATTAAAATATATTAATCCATTATTTTTCATTGGAGAAATGATTTTTGAAAGGACATAATTGTAATATCTCTTATTACGTGGTAGTTTGAAAAGATAAAATTTTTCTTTTATAGTTCATTACGTTTCATATAATATTAAAATATCAAAAAGTACAAAGCAAAAGAACAAAAAGAAAATCATCGCACAAACATCTCATTATAAAGTTACGCTTGGATGCACTACCTTTGTTCGAATCAACTATCATAGTGGATCTTTAACTGAGGTGCCTGTAAAGAGCTTTGAATTAAAATAATTATATATTTGTTTCATTGTAGAGAATTCCGGAATCATAATGTACGTATTTCATTGTTATTATTAATCTGTTTGAACGTATCATTGGAAAAAGGTGATTATTGAATATTGGTTTATATTTCCATATGAAACAAATTTCTGATTTCATTTTATCGAAAATAATACTCGTCTAATTTATAAAAACAAAATTCAGGAATGAATTTTCTATTAATATTTTGCGATGTAATTTTAATATGAAATATTAATTACTCTTTTGAGTTTAATCAGTGACTTGTTGTTTTGATTTCAGTAGAAAATATATGTTATATGTAATAAAATTATTAATTATAATTTGATTGATTGGTTGATTTAATTTTTTAAACATTAGAGCTTGCATAACACTAGCTGTTTGTGTACATATATTTAGACTGGACATATTTTTTTACTTTCCAGCTTTAGGTTACATTATGAATGGTAAATTAATATTATTATGTGATAATGTGTATGTTATTGTTTCAGTTGACTTTCGACACGTTTACAGTGGGTAAATTTGTGTCGTTCACGTCAGATGGTTGTCCGGATGGACACATGACTATAGTTGAGAGAAGTCCATCGCCCCCCACTGGGCAATGGTGTGGGTCCGCGTGGGGTTATACTGTATATTTTAGTGAATCCGACTCTATTAATATGACGCTCAGATTAGATAGATTGAGTCAACAGGTGAGTGTTAAATTTTGTTGATATTACAATAACTGTAGTTCGATATTATAAATTTTATCCACCCTTTTTAACGACTCGATTTACTTAAGGATTGTATGATGTATAATAATATTATGTAATAATTTATGTGAAGAGTTTTTTAAGGCTGCTAATTGTAAAATACGTATATTATAAAAGAAACAGTAATAATCGAACAAAGGTAAAAGATTTTTATAATGCATATATTTATATGAAAAAATACAGGATACTTATAAAAAACCGGATTATGCTTAATCTTGTTACATATATTTTAAGTAAAGTTCACATGATGGAGGAATGAATGAATTTCTACCCTGAAGTGATTAACAATTTGCGTATTTATTCGAATATATGAAAATAATAGTTCTGTGTTGAACTCAACAGAATGTAGGGATAATTTTCACTGTGCATTTAATTTCAGTCATCAGCCTTGGCGGCTAGAAACCTTATTAAGGGGGTCTTCCTATGTGACGGCCTGTTTTTTAGGGATATTTTAGGATTTTTTTTCTACGACCAGTAAATATTTAGAGCTTCAAGTTTTTTATCATTTATTAACACATATTTGGACAGTATAAATATAAAATTTCAGCTAAAAATATTCAGTCAAACTAGAGTTACAGCGCTCTGAACACCCCCGCCTCGAAAAAAAGAGCTCCCACTTCCTCCACGATTCCGGCTGATCGGCTTATCTGAAAAAAAAAAAAAAACGGCGTTTTAATTTGTAGGCTTAAAAGCACGGAATGACCTATAATCAAATGAATATAAAAAAAATTGGATTTTTGATAGACATTTGAAATAAAAGTTGCAAATTAGGCGTTTTTTTTTTTTGTTTTTTGCTATAAAAAAATTGAAGTTTTGAAAATTTTCGATTGATAATAGTTCATTCCATGCGTTAACATATATTGAGTGTGCCCTGTAAATTTCAAGTAATTCGGTCCAGCCGTTTCTGAGATACAATGGAGGAATGTTTGAAAAACACAGTTTTGAGAAAAACGCGTTTAAAGTTTCAAGTCCGTTAAAAACTATTAAAATATCAACTTACTCTCAATCGGCGATGCCTGGTCCATAGATTATTCCTTCCTCTTCCTCGTGAAACTCTTTTAAAGCAGATTGTTCAGCTCTTGAGTCAATCCTGGCTTGTTTAACGACATCACTTACGCGCCGCTCAGAGCGTAAGATTCGCTTTTCATCCCGTTTCTCAACATACGCTTGGGCTTCACGACCAACAGGGCATCCCATAATCGACATAACTTTTAAAATACCTTGAAAACCTTCATTAAAGATAATAACTGCTAAGTAGCTAGCAATTTCAACAACTTTGGGACCAGAATGAAGATGTTTAGGAGCGAAAGTCCAAATCAAAGAATTCAAAGATTCGTTATTGTTTTGTGTCTCTGCTCCTAAACAACGAATTAATAATTCGTCTTTCGATAAATCTTCGAAAACCGGTTTGATAGCTTCTTGGACTTGCGGAATTAGAGGTGGTTTATCGTGATGAAATTGGTCCAGTTCATTATTAGCTTCAGCCTTACGCCATTTACACCAACTGTCTTCGCCTTCTGGACAAAATTGATGCTGAGGGTTTTCATCAGAAGAACATTTGTGATAGTACGTTGCCCAAACTTCCTTTCTCATATCTTCAAGCGAATTATGAAAAAAAATAATTTGTAGCTGTTGCTCTCTTCGAAGTTCAACCAAGACTAAAATAACTTCGGTAAAATATTATAACAATAGAAATTTCTGTTTAAGTCTGTAGAAACGTGTCTAAACTTGTATAAACAAATATATTAATAAAAGGGAGGCCAGGTATAAAGCCGACGGTACACAATAGGCCCGGTCTCTAACTGCCAACTCACCGCTCCGAACCGCTCTTTCTTTTACCTGCTGTATCTTTAAAACGACTTCGAATTTTCTAAAATCGCTTTACTACCGTATTCTAGACATGTTAAGGGAGCAATTTATGAAAAAAAAAAAATCGATTTTTTCAACCCATCACATAGGAAGACCCCCTTAACATTGTACTATTCCTTTGTTCTATATAGTTAATTTACCAACGTGTCAGCACAAAATAACGAATCTTAATTTCCCTCATCCGTGACTTGTTAACATCGGAGTCTGACATGTTTAATTAGGAGTTTTTGCACACAGCAAAGTTAATCTGTATAAATGAACAACGATATATTTATCTTCATTAAGAGTCACTTACTAAGCATCCCTTTGTGTTCTGACGTGACGTAACTAACTACATGTTTTCGCCTGTGACTTGACTAATATTTCACATCACCCCGCTTTTAACGGGTCGGTGCCTTTCCTTTATCTTCTGTTAGCAGCCGTATTATGTGCACCAAGGGTTGAACTTTCGATCAATTAATTAAGCGACGATTACGGACACCCTCTTGGGACCCTGGATAAGGTGCAATTACAATAATGGATGTTATTATCGAACGGTTCCATACTTTGACAAAAGGAAATTGTCTTTAGACATTTTACAACTTTTCGATAATTTTATTTTTTTTACTCTGAAGACGAGTATGGCTGTAGCTAAATTAAAATGCAATATTTAATTACTTGTTATTTTGTTGCACTAAGCTGTATTGCGTTATTTAAACAAAATAGCATTGCATATACAATGCAAATAAACGATTATTTCCCTGAATATCTTTAATATCAGAAAAACTTATATTATAATTCACCAGCAGCCATTCATTCATTGCGCATATATTGAAGTGAGATGGAAGTAATATTTTGACTGACAGCCCTATTTTGTTGTAGGGTGTGGGATACAATTTCGACTTCAAGTTGGCTTACAAGTTTCTAAGACGGAGTGAAGCGCGGTTGCGGTATGGAAACGCGACAGTGGGGGCGTGGAGGGGAGAAAGGGTACCAGGGACATACTGCGACCGCATACTGAGTGACTGTGATCTACGCGCGTGTCGAATCCAGTCACCTAACTTCCCTGGTGTCTATCCGAGGAATGCCACATGTACATACCGTATTGAACATACTAAGGTAATAAATTATATTCTTGTTACATATTAAATTTACGACCAGTCTCACCTTTTTAGTTGAAAATTATTGTATAATAACTAATTATATTATACCTTCGTTAGGAATAATTCTGTTGATATATGATAACCGCAAGAAAAACCGTTCAGCATTTATTTACAATATCGCGACCATATGTATGTACATGTAGATAGCGGCGGAGTTTTTATTTCTAATAAGTACATGGATGTAACATACTGTTTTTAGCACACTAACCGCGATATTCTCTATTTATATTCTCCTTCTATAATACCTAGTCCTTGATTAAATTTCATGTATGTAGCAAGCCCATTTAATATGGTCATACAAGGATAAAATATTATATTCTGAGAATTTCCATAAATAATACTACATTATTTAAGGATATTCTCAGAATTAACGTTGAAGTGAGATTGTCAGTGACCCATCTCTATTCACATTTGGTGATCACTGGACTGATGCAATGGACACACAACTAACTACTACATGTATGTCAATTTACATGATAATTGATTGAATCTTGTAGGCGTTCCGAGGTTACAAACTCAACATAGTTACAAGCATCGTGGTTAGGGATTGACCGGACACAGCAGAGGATCTTAACAATTACTATGAACAGTGGTGCACCATCCCATACAACGGATTTTTGCTTGCAACAAACATAATATAGATGACAGTATTGTATGGGGTGGGGTATCTGTATGTAATATTATTCTATCTGTGCTATGAGTAAATAATAGGAACCTACACGTTTTCTCACTCTTTTTTATACTCGCCATCGTTACTAATACCACAAAATACGTAATAGCATCTAGACTTTATTAAATATATCTAGGTACAAGCTAGACGAAAATAGTAACAGTGAATATACTGTTATATAATGTATAAAATAGTAGTACAACCGTATTTATAGTATAGTTATTAATGTATGTCATTCCAATTAATTTGTTTGATTGTAATTTAATCTTTAAATTTGTCATAATGCTGTTACTAGCAAATGACGTAACAATTAATTTTGAAACAGGAGATGTTTGTTTCACGAGATTAATGCGGTTGTCGTGGCTGTTCCAATTCATATTTAATTTGAATTTCACACTAAACTCCACGCTAGATTCGCCTACAATGTAAATAATTCATATACGCAAATGTAGTATGTGTGTTCGTTAGATGGTTAAACGAAAAGCAGTGTAAAGGTTTTGGGATAAGGTTCATTTTATTATATTTTTTGCAGATACCATCCGACAAACATGTTTTACTAATAGTAAGACAGACGAATAGCCACAAAATACATATCAAAGACCAAATAGTGAAGTACGATAGAAGTCAACGTGTATTGAAGTAAGTCTATCTAGATACTTTAGATAAATATCAGCTAGTTTTAAATATATTTATATCGTAGATATATTTTTTATATACTGAAAGTGGCAAACATGCTGATGGCAGACATAATAGTAAGTGGTAACCAGTGTTTATATAGATGAATAGCTCTATGGACATCGCGTTATCATGCGACACCCGTGATACATCACGCATGCATTGCCATTCTGGGGCACGAATGTCTCACCGATGTCATGTCTCATTTTCACTGCACTATCCTTTAACTGAAAACACTGCATACAAATTAAGTAGCTTTCTTAGAATATATCAATAATTATTTAGAAATAAAGAAAATAACATTCATTCTATGTTTTTGGTTTATATTCAAAATGTGGTAAATGCATTTCGAAGTAGAGATATTTATTCGTAAAGTTACAGTAAAATATTTACAATGGAGTGTCGAATAGATAGACGATAAAATAAATATTAGGTGCACATTTTTTCCTGTATTTGTTAACAGGAAAATATACCGGTCGAAAATATTTTTATAAGTTCTCAATAATTACAGTTTCCGATAAAAATAAGTAACATTTTATTTAACGGTTGTTTACGGAAATGCTAATACTGCAATAGATTTATTTTTATTTGAAATGAATGTGTTTAAAAGCTCTATAAAAATGCTGGTGTTATTTTTCTTCAGGAGCAGTTTTTATATTTATATACGGTAAAAGTAATACAGTTTTTTCCGTCATATACAGTACATACATATATAGCACCAATAACATGATGCCAATATAGTGAGGCCCGTGACACTGCTCAGTCATGCCTCCATACCTTGTAATTTCACACTTAATCTACGGTTAGATATACTTACTAATTACATATAATACGGAAAACTCTAGCACCTTTTCCGTAATATATTCTATAAACAGGTAGCCAACTTGTTTTACTATTATTAGTGTATTATAAAAAAAAACCAAATTGATAGTATCTTTATAGTGGGCAATTCACTGCAATTTAATTACATTAAAATACTCGGTAAGTCTGTACAGTAACATGTCCATAGGTACCTTCAAGGCAGTAAGCAGCTTGCATGCTTACTGTGTTCCGGTTTTAATCGTGTGATATAGCAGTAAAATTATTGGGTACTCCAGAATTCTATTTCAGTAGGGTTAATTCAGGTCTTGGTCGGATATGGATTTCCTTGGCCTAATAACACTTGGAGGAATTCTATAGATTTCAGTTGGTAAGAATCAGGTGGTCCCTATGGACTTTAAAGCAATGGGGCATTATGATGAATTTTCTGATAAAAAAAAATATGATACTTACATATATGGACATAAAATGTAAATAATACTGGCCGTTGACAACTTGTGATAAGAGATTTAAGATATTTTTTGTTTATAAGAAAAACTATTTTAGGATATGGGACCAATGCAACGTAGTACAGGATTATTTAACAGTTTGGGACGGTGCTACGCGAGATTCACCGGTATTAGTACGACTCTGTGGTGGAGATGCTGTACCAGATATTATTAGCCGCGGTTCCAATATGCTTTTGGAGTTCCATACGTCACCGTACGACAATCCCTTCCACCCAGTCCCTTTGAGCTACCTCCCTGGTTTTGAACTAGAAGTACAGGTTAGTGTTATAATTATTATACATATAAGTAATTAAATATGACTGCAAACATTTTTAGTTTGAAATTGCCTTTTCGAGCTAATGAGACCAGCGTGATATATTTTCCTTTTACGTATTTTGTTTAATGTGCTGAAATTAAATGGGATTCTCTACTGCCAAATGATAAAGTATTGGGTGTACTTACACCTAGTACTTTTGTAAATAAATGTACGAACACCTCTATTTTATGATGTCTCGTGAATAAACTTGCGGTATTTTTCTTCAAATGCACGCTGAAACAAAAAACGGTAGTTTCCAAATATATTATAGGTTAGTGTTGCTTGTATTATGTTTATGATTTTCTATTCTTCTATTCAAGCCATTAATCGTATATTAGTAATATAATACTAAAGTTTTCCTTGTCAATAATTGTATTGAAGTGATTTATTTACAGAAGCAATGTTGTTGCACAAGAATTGTGTCCTTATTCAGATTTAAAACATTATTCCTATTTAGCCAAATTAAAATATTATATTTTCTGACTAAAGCATACAGGGAGACATCAATATTTTTTTATATTACTTTACTAGCTACACACCTCGATTTCGCACGAGTGTGCATGTATGATATATATATATAAATAAATAATATATATAAACCTTCCTCTTGAATTACTCTATCTATTATAAAAACGCTTCAAAATTCATTGCATAGTTTTAAAGATTTAAGCATACATAAGGACAGACAGCGGCAGCGACTTTGTTTTATACTATGCAATAATAATAATGATAACTCTTACAAATAATGCGTTATTTTAAATACAAGTACAATATTTTATATTATTTATAACACAAAGACTATCTGCTTTATTTTATTGCAAGAATTATCCATGTCTTTTGTATGTAATTTTTTTTTTATTGTATAAAAGTGGTAAAACTTTTAAGTATTATTTGAAAAATATATAGAAAAAGATTGATAAGCAAGCAGAAATTACAGTCACTTACTCCAGTCCTATAATTTGTTTAAAGCAATTCGTGATTCACGGAACCGTTTTACTAGCACGAACTTGTTTTAAGTAAAATACATGTTCTCCAGGTGCTGTATGTAGACAAAGACTCCCATTCGTACGTGCGTCCTGATGGCCGATGTCGTTTTGTTTTGCGCTCCTCTGACAAAACTAGTGGGGTTTTGAGGAATCCACGACACTCATTGCCACCAAACACGTCATGTGTATATTATTTCCAGGTATAGTCATTGCCTCTATAATTTACTTCTCTCTACGTAACAGGAAAGATAAACAATCCTATGTATCGCATATGGGAAGTACAGATCTGAAAATATAAAAAAAATGCACAGATGAATTTTTAATACTATTAGAATATTATATTTAATTATTTGGATGTTTTATTACTTATAGTTCAATTCTTTTTTTATAATAGGCTTACTACCCAAAAATTCGTAATAATAAGTTTTGAAGTTCAGTAATAATTTATATTTATTAATAAGATAAGTTTTATATTGTAAAACTTGGTATTAGATGAAATTTTCAGTGGTAAAAGATTAACAGTTAATTAACCGTTTTTAAGTAATGGTCTAAGATATTTTGATATGCTACTCATAATACTAGATAAGAAAATATTATAGTTCTTAAGAGTCAGGGAGTTGTGGGACTACTAACTAAGAGAGAACACTAAGTTTTCAGACTTGAACTCAGCATAATACAGTTTAAACTGACACTTCAGCTAAAACGAAAGTGTAGACAGTTTTGTTTTCTAAAATACATCGATTCCAAACAATATATTAAAGTTGTCCACCTGCTCTATTGTAAGCAACAAATACAAAGTTAGCAGGTAAATTCGAGCGCCACTATAAATGATTTGTGGTTTGCAGGGTCGTCCAAATGAAATAGTGTGGGTCTCGTTCGTGAAATATCATTCGGCGGGTACGGAACCGGCTGGATTTGATCAGCAGAAGGACTGCTCATCTCAACTCACCATATGGGACGGGGCCGCACCTGACGCGGACCTCGACAGGAAGGTTTGATATTAAATTTTGAGACTTTAGTTTTACGAGCGCTTCGAAGTTTGGTTTATAATCTATACTAATAATATATTTAAAGAGTTAAAGTTTGTAATTTTGTAAGTTCGGTTTAATCTAAGGTAGTTAATTAAGGTCTGATTTAAAAAAATACTTTAGTGTTGGATAGTCTATTTATTGAGGTAGTTTATGGAGTACATAACGTCACGCTACAATCAATAGAAATGTAAAAGAAAAATGGGACGCAGAGTTACGCAGGTCAGTCAGCGTTTTCGCTAATAAAGTAGCAATTATCCAAAAAAATTATTACCAATGCCCAATGCCCAAAGTCCACCAACCCCAATCATCCTGAAGGCGCTGTTTCCTGTGGACGTACCGAATATAGGCGGATCAATATAGCTAAGAAAATATTTCAATTTAAATTCAATTTAGCGAAGCTCTATATAAGTTTGTGAGAATTACGAAATTAAATATATATCTCGAACATTATGAATATTTAAATTATTACGCCGTAGTGTTGTATGTGTTTATATACCAGTTGTATAAATATTTCAAAGTATTAGCATGCAAGTATACAAAAAAAATTAATATTTTCTATATAACTGATCAACTATTTCACGACAATTATATTCAATAGCTTCATTTATATTGACAATATAAATGAAGCTGTTGGCGCATATAAATGTCCATAATATGCATCCTCATTTTGGTTATTACAACAATATCTGAAGATAATGTCATATATAATTATGAGCACTTAAACAACACTATAGACATACAAAGTACCAAATAATATATTAATAATATTGTTGGCACGTGGCAATATACATATACTTAGTGCATCGCGGCACTTAAATTCCATTCAGATTTGAGCTTCTCTCTGAGTCTCAGTCACGTTCAATTTTCATAAAATTCAAAACTGTTACTATTTATTACAAGGCATTGGGGGGCCATTTGCATAAAATTTTACACTGAGCGATTTCAAACGACAAAAATTTCAGCGAGCTTACAGTGTAATGAAATGAGGATTAACTTGCATCAGTGGGGAGTAAAACTTACCCCATTTCAAAGACTGAGGAAGTAAAGTACAACTGTTTGAATCAATGTGTTTCTTTTGTTAACGTATCGAGTATAGCTATTTAAATGACATTTTTTTTATTGTTTACATTAATTAAATTTCACTTACGGAATCAAATATTATTAAATGATAATAATTAATTGAAGTATAATCAAAGTTGTGATTTTTTCATATCTTTTAACATATTTATTTATTTACATTTTTACAGTGCAAACGATATTAATTTTTATGAATATACGTAATGTAAAAAAAAATTCTAATATATGTACTAGGTATTTAAATACAGTAATAATAACATTTTATTCCATAACCCTATGCAATAATAAAATGTACGGGCAAGTTGTTTCCCTTGGATAACAACTAATATGTTTAACCTTATTACAAGATACAAATACAGAAGCGATATAAAATTGGGTGGCATTCTGGGTGCTTTTATTCGTGCCATTTCACTTTGCCAACTACCCGTCTACCTCAACCTCCCACTTGACGGCGGCAGCCAAACATTAATTTTCTTTAATGTGCCTGAGCACTCGGTAAGAGTTTTCGACCGACTGCAGTGCGGTGTTTCGTTTCATTCATTCGGAATTCCTTAGTTTGCATTATGAATAGATGAGCGGTCATGCTATTCTTGGCCTTTTAAATCTAGCCGTATTTGAATAATGTCGTATTTATACAAATTTACTTTATTCTAGGTTTAATTATTCTAATGGTTCGTTACGGTATATAGAATCAAATATCAACTGTCTCTATATAATTATTTGTCCAACTACCAATATACACAGTATATGTGTATATTGTGTATAGTATATACCTAGTATTATGTTAAATTGATGTACGCTTTGGTCTTTAGTATAATGTACGCTAATTATAAAATTAACGTTATATTTATTATCATGTGATTTATTCTTTGTTATCTTTTATAATCTGTGTCACGAATATTGTATAGATTTAAGTACTTGGTAAGTAGTTACTTCTAGTACCTACTGAAAATTCCATTGTCAATTACCAAAACTATCATATTTTATTCAGGGTTATGTGTATATTTCCTTTTTTTCATATATACCTTTTCTTTTAGTTGGATATGAGTGATAAAAAATCACTACTCGGATCATTTTGCCGCGAAGAGTCACCAAGATTATGCGACCACGCTCTATTATCGAATGCAACACGAGCAACCAGACCATGTGCACCATCAGAAAGTTATATCACTACCGGGCCAGCTCTCACTATTTTACAGGTAAGTTAACGCATATATACAAAGAAGTCATTTCATTACGGCTTGAGGAATATTCTGTTAAGTTGAGTGGTCTATATGAGTCTGCAATGGTAAGTGGTAACAGTTGCCTGTATATATATATATATATATATATATATATATATATATATATATATATATATAGCTAATAGCAACGTATGAGAGTTGTTGTACCTTAATATTAATAATTAATTAATACCTCTCATCCTGTACTTTCATTGTCTTTTTTCCTCCGACAACCGAAGTAAAATATACAGAGCAAGATGCTTGGCGCCTAAAGTAGGTGAGACCAGGGTACCTACATAGGCTACTTTTTACAGTCTACCTCTACCTCAGAATATTTTTAAGGTAAATAAATATACGAGGTAATTTTATATTTGTATGAAAATACAATACAAAAGATTATAAAGCTAGGAATTTATGTGTATTGTATATTAATTAAAATGTCTGTGACTGGGTAAAGTCCTCTAGCTTGTGAGTTTAACTTATTTATTAACAGTAATTGTTGTTATAATAACTCTTAAAGACAAGAGTCATTAAGTTTATTACTTATTGTCATTTATTAATTATTATTATTAATATTTCAAATAGTGCCCTCTCTCTCTCTCCCCCTTTTATATATATATATTTTTGGTGCCACTGAAAACCAGCTGTTCACCTAGGACATAATTAAAGCTGAGTGAAGCCATTTCAGTGCATTTTTGGATGTAAAAATTGATTATTTTGTGTTTATTTTTAATTATCTATAAGTTTAATTATATGTACATTTTATTTGCTCTTTTTTTTTTGTTTGTTGTTTATATTGTATTTTTTACATTGCACTGAATAAAATATTTTTCTTTCTTTCTTTCTTTCTTCTATTGAAAATCATGGTATTATAAGGCCATATTTATTGTGGCTATCACTAAAGTGAGAAGAGACCAGAAAATAATGATTAATATTACAGTGTGCGCTGTAGTTTTTGTAGCCCACATAGAGTTAATTAATGTTGACAAGCAGTAAACTACTCCATCTGTTAGCTTTTTACGTATGCATCAAGCGAGACGACGTGGCCACGTTAGGTGCATGGAATTTCAGTGCAATATCTAATACAAAGATGTGAATTTTCTAGAAACGAAACAAAATTTTTAGCAAACTTACATAGACTTTCTACGGCATCGTCACATGACAATGTAATGTTTAAGATACTTTTCACGTATATAAGCAACGTTTACCATTTACTACCAGGGGGGGAGGGGGCTATAAAATAGCTTGCAATTCCTGTTATACATAAAAAAAATATTTCACAATAAGTATAAAAATGTGTCGTCGTACGTTGTCGTGTAGTGACGGAACAAGAATGCGAATGTTAACTTGTATTCAAAATGTCATAAGAGCTGAATATGGGACCAAAATAAAATAAAACCCTATATCCAGCGTAGTAATGGTAGGTTAATATCCTCCACTTACGGGACGAGACGTCCATGTCCGGTCGTTAATGGGTTACAAATGGACCCCTTGGAAAGCATATGATACTCACTTCAGCTAGTACGCCTAGTATTAAATTTCGAGCTCCCATTTCAGAACTATTTATTAAGAAAGAAAAAGGTCATACTTTTTATTTCTGATAACGTTGAGCTAACGGTACCTAAAACTATTCAAAATTAACTTTTTAATCGATAGCATCAGTAGTTCCTAACATAATGTCTTGTAATGTGTCTTAATTCTTTTATACGTCCAAGTAGTCCCTAATCTAATGTGAAATAAAGTTTTGTGATTATTGTATAGAACGAATATTCAATTTTATGACTGTATCTATTTCTATCGATGATCTAGCGGAGCACACCGCTGATCGTAGATTGGATTCCTTGCACGGCACAATCGTTTGTAGTTACTAAAAAAAACAATGTATGTATTTGTACCAGTTATATTATAGTACCGATAATAAAAGCTCCGCTTAGTTTTGAACTATATGGCGCTGTGAAAATGGTCTTGAAATATAAAAAAATATTTGGATTTTAACTGTAAAAATTATATTTACAAATCCGTGCTATATGTATCACATACAAGGCTCCATCTAGATATTATTTATAGCCGTGTTGGATACACTCGAAACTTTTCTGCCCGGTGAAACATTCATCGTGCCCCGGATAGATAAGTCACGCGCACAGTTGCATTTGCCATAGTGAATAATGCAAGAGACACGTGCGAAAGCCACTCTGTCCTTATGTGATGGAACGCTTTAGTGTTGTAACATAACGGAGTGGTAGTGGATGAAATACTCCTATATATCAAAGTTATACTTGGCTTAACTTCAAACAGCAAAAATAATAATACAACATAGAAATGTGTACAAAAATATACGATAATAAATCAGTTGAAGATACGAAAGATATTATATTACTAATCAACTCTGACTCAAACTTGCCTTGAAAAAATCATGCATTTAGACCAATAAAGTTCACTTATTGCTATATCACAACTAATTAAGAAATGTACAGGAATTTTGATATTTTTTTTACTTTATATGCTTAAAGAAATAGCATACATTATTTCTCTCTCTATTACTGCTTTTGTTAATTCATTTATACTCGTATGTGTTATCTCAGAACTACTTTATTAATCAATATTAATTTCTTCAGAAAAGGTAGGATGGGAGAGGCTTGTAGCTATTCTAACTGAATTTTAAGTTATCTAACTCCATATCCTCTTGTGTATTAAATGTTATACGACTGTACCTGTACTAGTATTTAAAGTATCAAATTGATTTATTATATAGTTATTTATATACAAAGTGATTTGTACATTTTATGTTATGAATATTAAATATATATATTTTATTATAGTTTTATCAAATTTTGATTACTAAAATTTTAATGTAATAATACTTTATTTATGCATTGTATAACGAGATATTATTTAAAAGAGGTGCATTCATCCATCCTAGTGACTAGTACGGTAGTAACACCAAATATAGAGACCACATTATTAATATAATCATGGTAAATATCTCGTTTATATATGTAATGTGTACAATTGTAAACAACCGCAATTTATTTCAAAACAAAGTAATAATAATATACTATTTATATAATAATTATATATTATATGTTCTATACTAGTCAGTTATATTTAAGAATTTTTTTTTTCGATAGGAACTTCGTCAAGGTTCAGCGCTATATCCAGTATCTTTTCTACTTCGCTATGAATTCGTCGATGTAAGCGAGCAAGGGCAGCCATTAGTCGATTCTCAATCAGCCTGCGATCGAGTTTTCAAATCTGCTCAAACTTACTCCGGGAGATTTCAAGCCCCCAGAGCAATATTCTATTACGGACGAGGCGGTGCACAAAATGTTACTTGTATCTTAAGGTATTAATAACTTTTCCTTTATGAATTTTCTGCGTTCAATAATGGTAATACAGGATATTGAGTCATTCTTTTTTCTGCAGATTTGAAGCAAAGCAAGGAGAGAGAATTCAATTAACTTTCACAAATACTTATTTTGGGAATAAGTATTGTAATACACACAAAGATCCGCGAACTGGCCGATGGGAATGTGATAGGCCTTCAAAAAGGACCATAGGAGGTGAAGGGCTTGCTGAAATAATTATTACTGAAATTCCTTGGGATGGAGTGCCAATAAGGAGAGATTGTCTTTGTACGAATCGATCAGAACCAATAAATATACACACTTTAACTGCACCAGTCGTTGAAGTTAACTTCACAGTAACTATGATGAATATTACTGAAGATTATGATGATTTTGCTTTTGAAGGCGAGTACAAATTTATTCCAACAGGGCCTAGTGATGAGACAGTCTGTTCCTCTGGTTGGGGTGAAAGGCGACTTAGAGGCAGTAGTGGTGAAATCAGACTTTTTGACAAAAGACAAATTTCTATTGCCCCAGAGATTGTTGGTGATAGAAACGTTATATCAGAAAGCGTTCGAGCTGAAGTTGCATGTGTTCATAGACCTTGGCTTATAGAGCCAGGAGGTGATGAAGTTGACCCAATACAAGGTCGATATCTGTACGTAAAAATTCCGGGATATGATGTGACGTCAACGTCGCCTTTTTGCCCTACTCCTAATAGATTATTTATATACGAAGCTAGAGATACCTCGCGAGTACGTGAAATTTGTCCTGATAGTACAAACTTCATAGAATTGTTTTCACCTGGATGGAAATCATCTCAAGCACCTGTAGAATCATCTTTGAAGCCCCATGCTAGGAGCTATGTTATAGATTTTTTGCAACATGAACAAGCTGATTATTCAATTAAATGGATAGAACTAATGAAAAAACCTGTATTTGAGCCCGATCCGGAATCAAATCTCCTACCGTCATCAATATCTCTTGAATGTCGTTACAGGTATGTATATTTTGATATAATATATTATAACAGTTAAGACATTTTATGCATAATTTTTACTTAATTTATGTTTTTCTTTTGTAGCTGTCCTGAATTAAATGCTTGCATACCTTTGGCATTATGGTGTGATGGAAGTGCTCATTGTCCATCTGGCTTTGATGAAGATGATTCTAACTGCTCATTTAGGATATCTCTCCCGCCACCTTACGTAGCAGCGGCTGCGGGTGTTGGTCTTCTTATTTGCGCTGTGATAGTAGCTTTATGTGCATGCCGAAGACGACGAAGAAAAGACAAAGAATTTAAGGCTAGATTAGATGGTGCATTACCTCCAGAAGAAAGACCTTTTGATAGAGCTAAAGCCAATGGTATACCTGAAGCTTCACAGCAATACGCCACAGTACAAAAGTACGCAACTATAGATAAGTACAGCTTAAGTCAAAAATATAGCGCTGGTCTGAATGATGCGAGATACTATGATGAGGTGGCACAAAGAGATAAACTCGCAGATACTAGATATGCTAGTTTAGGTCGAGCGGGTCGAGGTACACGGCATGAAAATTCTAGAGGCAACGGTTCTCGTAGAGCCATGCCCGATTTGGGTTACCCTGATCTTAAAGATGGTTTCTGTTGACCCACTCCAGATCTTATAGAAACAACTGTATAGCAATTTGTGTAATTCGGGATATTTCCGAATAAAAAATTACATGTTTATGTTTAACATTAGAGTGAAGACTGAATTTGGCAAAAGTGCCTGCATAACATTTTTGGTCAAATCCGTAGAAACTGACGAACTTAAAAATGAGTATTAAAACACAAACTAAAATATTTTTTCTTCATATTTAACTTATTTATTGTATAGTCAGTACATAGATGCAAAATAGGAACACACATAAATTGAATTGATGATAAGTTGTAGATTCCGTTAAAAGTAGAAATTTCTCGAAGGTTATCCCCTCAACTAACATATCTTAATGTACATAATTGCTTGACAATACGATTTTAAGATAAATTGTAAATCTAAAAGTGTGTTAGTGAAATGAGTGATTAGTGTACTCTGTATACTTTAATATGGAATCTGATATAAGTTTGTGGTCGTAAGAAAAATGACTCCATTGTGTAAATTCTTGATTCACTGCGTAACGGTATACATAATGTATGTGAATAATATTATTAACCTATGTACTATAAATATTATAGATATAAGAAGAAAATGTGATATAGGTTGTAAAATAGTAGATAAGATTCACGAACTGTATAACTAAAGTTAGATAAAATAATTTTCCTTTTGTGTATAAAGAACTAATGCTAACGGTGTATCTATTAATTGTGACTGTACATAAATTATCGAATAAGATTTTTAAAGTCTGTAATTATTTCCAGGTAAACGGAAAATTAAAGTCATTTCTAAAAATAATCGTACGCCTTTATTGCTTTCCCTAATGAATGTTTACCATATAAATATGTTTGTTACACGCATATTAAAATTTACACGGGATTAAATTTGTACAGATTTTAATACAATGGAGAATAATTTAACGCTCGTGTAGATATATTAGAGACTCCATTTATCAGTATCATGCAATAATTTATTTATGCTTACATATTCTCAACTTGACAGATTACAATAAGTAAATTTCAAAAAGTGTCATGCCGGAAGAAAGTCCGTAAGTATACAGTTAGTGTACAGTTTAATACTTTTGAAGATATCGTATATGGTAACGAGTGTTTTGACGTGTGTATGACCGGTCTCTTTAGACACAATTTCGTCAACTACTTTACGCCCCTTCAGATCGATTATTGAAGAAAAAATGTTCCTGTGTAAAATTAAATTAAATTTGTAATGAAGATAGATTATATCTCGAGGATATAATCTATCTTCACGTCAAATTTTATTACGATTCTTTCAGGTGTCTAGTTGTTAAAAGCTAACAAACATGCTGACAAACTTACTTTCACTTTGGTACTAGTATATACCCGTAAAATTGTTGTTATTTTTAATGTTGAAATATTCTAATTATAATAGCAAAAAACAGTTTAGGTAAAAATAATAACAAAAAATCTAAATATTACCCAAGCTCACTATATATAGTGAACTACTGTGTGGTTTTATATCATATATTTATCGTATTTCTTATCGCGACCGGTTGTGAAAATATAATTTCACAATTACATTATCTTTTATGGAATTTAGAATGGTAAAGACCACTTGTTTGGATGATGGAAACTAGACGCGGTCGCTTAGAGATATGAACTAAAATATGGATAACACATGACACTTTGACATCTACTATATTCCTTATGCATTGGTGTACTTGAGAATTGAAATGTTAAACAGAGGCATAAAATTTTAATTGTTCTAGATTCTGGATACAGTGTCCAGTGACTCATAGTCATAGCTAATGTTACAGCAAAAAGCAAAGCAGCATTTGAGTATTTTTTATAACATAAGAACTTGCGGTACGTTTGGTAAGTGACGTCTACTATATTCCTTATTCACCCTAGGTATGGAAAGAATTTAAGAAAGGTATAGGGACAGTAGGTATGTGGAACCAAGAGTCAACATTTGTAACGCGATAACAACAACGGCCTGTGTTCTGAAGAGTTCGCAAGTATTTCGAGTTCGAACAAATCCATTCGTATATCATCGTGTATAATACATGGTCATAGACCATAATATGGGTATAGGCGAGGCGGAGTTCTGACGCAGTAGTCATATTTGTACAACGTCTAGAATACGCGACTAGACATTATAATAGTCTTTAAATTAAAGTCTTAACGAGTGCAAGCAGAACATTTTTTTTATATAACATATCGTCATAGTCGTAGAATACTGTCGGATCTGACAAATATTAAACTTTACAGGGCAGCCATTTCAAATATCAGTGTTGGTTTTTTTGACATAACTTTTTTAATTCTAAATGTATAATTATGAAAATTGGCATACAATTAAAAAATAGGGATTGTGTTAAAATGAAATAAAAATTACAACTTATAATTATACGGTTTTCCAGAAAAATCACATGCTTCATTTTACGTCGGAGTCAACACAGTCGCATAGTATTATCCGACATTGTTCGTCGGAAAGTTTCGTGTCGAAGAATGACGCATGTGACTTTCCGATTATGTTCTATGGACTGACTGAGTAATATTTTGGCGGATGTGTTATTTATCATATTCTATTTTGACCATAAGTAAGTAGGTAGGTAAGTGGTTGGTATGTAAATAGGTAGGTTGGGGTAGGTAAGGTATCTTAAATAAAACACAGACTATTTAGTCTGGTCATTGGACTATTTTTAATCAATATAATAAACATTAAGCTTAAATTATGTAATTATCAATAGCATTATTATTAAGAAAACTATAATGTTGAAGCCATTTGGCCTGATTACTTCTTTTTTGGTTAATAACTAATCTAAAACTTAATCACTAATTATTTATTAGGAAAACTCTAATATCACAATAATTTTTATTAGTATTTAAATAGTGTTGTAACGATATTAATTAAAATGAATAATAATGTTAAAAATCATAAATTCTGAAATCAAAATAGTAGCAATTAAGTAACTAGAAATATTAATAAATAATCACAAAGTATATAACAATTCTATTGCATTATTATTCAGTTAGATTATTTGCCATCCTCATCAGATACGTTTCGTCCATTAGGTAAACTTCTCAAATAGTTATGGTATTTTACAGGTATTATTAAGGAATCGTAAAGACTAATAAGATCCTTATATTTATCATTACTGATAGGAATTGGCCCCGAATAAGCTTTTTATATGATTGGAGTATTTTAATTTCTAGTCTCCTTTCAAAGTAGTATGGTCATGTAACCATCAGATAAAGCATATTTGTACCGGATTTTATTGCTCTGAGTCCTATCAACACAAACTTCTTTTATGCCTGTCCAATTTACTTTATTGTTAGCTGTTCTTTAAAATCAAACACTAACGACTGATTTACGTCTATGACTTCATAAGAATCACCTGTTACTTTATCCCAACATACAATTTCCATTCATCCAGTGTCTAAATTGTTTTATGCTCGGCAGCTCTTTCTATCACACTGTGAACAGAATCCCCTTTGTTTTGCGTGTGGCATTTTTCGAGGAATCTATGTGTTATAGTTATATCACATTCTTTAGCTACATGAGTATACATATTAAATACTATTCGATTTCAATTCTGGCCAGCGCAATTGTCTGACCAGAATTGAAACTCTTTTACACCCTTCAATACAAACTTATTTATGAAGTCATAAACGCAACTGGCTACTACATTGGCCCCACGTTTGATAACACTTTCATCCCATATATTGCAATGACAGTTTTGGCTTGTATACAATACACTCATTTACCCATGAGGACGCGACAAAACCTTTTAGAAATCAAATGTAGCACAAACGATGCGTCCGGTAGAAATAATCGCGTCATTTTTATCATTATGTTTTAAGGTTCTAGATACTTTTTTTTGCTATTTAAATGGTTTGCGAAATATTCTCTAAGGTCTTCAGACGGATTTTGTGTTTCTTTAAAACTATGACACTGATCACAAGTATTTAGGTAGATGGAAACTCAAATTAAATTAAGTATTAACTATGTCTCTGTACTATCTAAGCCTAGAAGCTGTATTTAAATAATTATTTATTAAGTTCAAGCCATTCTTTGTATAAATTGAACATCCGAGCGATGCTCAAGTCATCATCTAAATCTTTTGGACGCTGCTCTATTATAATGAGGCTACACTGATACAAATGAGTATAGACCGACTTTACCATATGATATGGTAAAGTCGGTCTATCGTCGTCAACAATCCGATTATGATTTTTATGTTTTTGGGATTATCGGTTGAGGGAAAGGTGACAGATCTGATATCAAGGTAGAGGTATTTAAAAGGGTTAAGGGTGAGCTTATATATGTATTTATGTATAATTGCTTATATTTGTTTGAGCTTGTATTTTGTATTAGTGGGACAAGACACCATGCTGGTTTTCTGACGTATATAAATATATATGAGGATGCATTTTGATACACGGTCATAAGAAGGATCTTTTCCAAGAACACAAGTAGGTGATTGGCATGTTTGGGTTCATAATATTTTGATTTTAAAATTCTGTTTGTTCCGTGTACGTCATCTGAAAAGACGTCCTCATAAATATCATTCATCTTTTCTATAATGTCGCATACTCCTGGGGGTAGTGGTGAAAAGCATTCTGAAAATATATGTAAAAAACATAAGTATATATTATTAATATAGCAGGTACATTTACTAAAAATCGTAAGACTATTCAGAATAAAATGATCAGAAAGTATAAAAAGTATAAAATTTACTGCTTTTTATTTTTACAGGCAAATTACTACTCAGGTTAGATTATTATTTTTATAGAAAAATATATTAAATATGTACGAATAATCATTTTTTTCAGTAGAAAAAAGTTGGAAGTGAATTTAGTTCTAAGAACAAAGTGGGATTGTCAGATACGACCGTTAGATAAAAAAGCGTGTCCACATATATATATCACGCGTCACTATCATGTCCATAGAAAACTGTAGTATAGTTGCATACAACTTGAAAAGTCAAATTGTCAAATAATATAACACAAACTCAACAGAATATTGTATTACTAACACTAATCAAATTATTTTATTGTAAATTAAATTTTAATTTAATTTATAATTTTCCGTAGAAAAACGACGGATAGTCAGAACCGACGGTTTAATTATTTACTTTGTAAAAATTGAATAAACACAAGAATTAAATGATACCAAACTGTTAATACATAATTAATTAACTTACCTGAAGTCCCTGGTACACAGTTCTCCTCATTAATGCACTCTTTACTAGTATAATTTGTAATTTGCGCATTTTTGCTTGTTTCTTTCACAAGTTTTAACATAAGATTTGAACGTTCAGTTTTTATTGTGGTATAACTTTTAACATAGTATAAAAAACTAGGCAATAAATAATGAATGAATAGGCAAACAAAGATATAACTAGTGTAATTTTTTAAGAAAAATTTAAACCGCTGCCACTCGTCATCGAGTTCAACGAATAGTGGCGGTTATTGAAATCCGTCGGGTGCGGGAGGGGGCGGTGGGTAATCCCAGCGCGTCGTACAAAGACGGATATACACTACCGTCATTTTACTATGAGCGCCATTCAAATCCGACAGTTTACCCACTGATTAACTTGAAATCTAAAATACATATAATTTTTTATTTTATGTAGTCATAATATTTAGATAATGTAGTATCCAAATATAGTAAAAAGTGAATTTCGTATTTTTTTCAAATCCGACTTTATTCTACGATCATGACGATATATAATATTGGAATAGCAAACAAGCAATTGAGTTGATAGTTCATGATAAGTG